AACCAAGAAAAGGGGGCAATGAATCACAGATCACGATGGAAGTATGCTTCTCTACAGTGGTGTCCCTATGACGGAGAGAGCCAAGGGAGGTGTTGGCTGTATTGTGGCCAGGAATCAAGTTAGTAACATCAAGAGATGGAAATTCATCTCGGAGTGAATTATGATGTTAGATCTGAAAGAAGAAGATAAAATTGTCAACATTGTCATTGCGTACGGTCCAAATATAGATGAGCCAGTAGATGTTAAAGAAGAATTCTTCGAACTGCCCCAAGAGACCATAGATGACTGTCACGATGAAATTATCCTCCTAGGAGATCTAAATGCCAGAAGAGGAAATGATCATTCTAGATGGGGTGGAGTGATCGGAAGATATGGTGAAGATGTTTTGAATGAAAATGGCAAGCGACTTCTCAAATTCTGCAGGGAACAGAACCTTGTCATTACAAACACAAAATTCCTCCACAAGCGTATACATGCCTACACAAGATGTGAACCTTCAAAAAACGAAACATCCATCATTGACTACGCCATAGTTAGAAAAATTTCATTCAAGTTTGTGAGAGATGCCAGAGTCATGAGAGGACCAGAGATTGGAAGTAACCACTATCTGGTCACAATAAAGAGAACAACTGAAAGAACTGCTCCGACAAGGCATGCAAGAAACTAAGCCACCAAGAAGGGGTGAGGATTAAGACATACAAGCTAAGAGAGCCAGATATTAGGGCTAGATACCAAGAGCTTATAGTGAAAGCAATAGGAACTGAAGAAGAACCATCAGAGGACACTGAAACCCTTTGGTGCAGATTCAAGAATATCCTCACAGTAGCTGCAGTAGAAGCATGTGGTGAAGTCTTAAGTAGGAGGCGGGGACATAGGACACCTAGGTGGTCGGAAGAAGTCAAATTGAAAATAGGAGAAAAGGAAAGGCATGGAAGCAATACCTGGCAGTCAGAAACACAGCTGAAGAAACAGAGAAATATAAGAATTATGTGGCACTCAGAACAGAGACCAAAAATATTGTGCTTAAAGCAGAACAGAAATCACGGGAAGAGTTTAGAGAAAAGTTGGAAAAGAGTGCAAGAGAAAATCAAAAACTGTTCTACAAGACCTTCAAGAACATGAGGAAGGAGAAAGAGTGCCCACTGAAATTCATAAAAGACAAGGAAGGGGCTCTGCTTACTTCTACAAATAATATCAGATGGAAAAAATACTTCTCAGAGCTCCTTGGCGTTGAGGGAAGTCATGACTCAGAAATAATGGACCTCACTGCTGAGAAGGAAATCATCCATGGGGAAGATAACATTAGAATGGAGGAATTGAAGGCAGCTATTGCGAAGATTAAGCTGGAAAACCAGCAGGTCATGATGGTATAACACCAGAGATGGTCAAATATATGGGAGTCGCAGGTGAGCGCTTTCTACTGAAGTTTCTCCAGGCAGCCTGGTGTATCGAAATGCAGTGATCTTCTTTGTTATTAATTGCTGGCTCGAATGAGTCACTGCATCTTTCCATTCACCAACTGACGAGAACGAGAAAACATGGACGCTGGCAGACGTTCAGAAGTTACACGTACTGTTTATTTTCACTCGCTGTTGTTGCAGTCAGTAAATGTTCATGTACAACCGTAGCACTCTTAATCAATGATCTAAACAGTCAATCATACCTTTGTAACATCGTAGAATAGAAACACAATTCATAGAAAACACAGTAGCTCCCTCCATCCAGAACGACAGTCATTCACAGCTGGCCACCGTTTCCGTCAGCCGCTATTTTATGCCAGGTAGGCATTGGGAAATCACGCTATTCAGACGACAACATTCTTCCGAACTTTCCACACGTACACCTTTCCCTTGGCCTAAACGAGACTCCCTCACAAACCTTTTCTTCGCTATTATATAGCCCTCTGATCTGTCCTGTTCTCGAATATTCTGGATAATTTCATTCTCACGAATTGCCGTGTCTAGCCCGTGATACCTCGCATTTCACACGACTCATGCCAGTCAACCTTCATGGTTTCACGTGAACAATCATGTTTCACATAAAACCTGACTTTCAGATGTCTCTCATGAAACTCAAGACATAAATCTCGTGTTATCTCAGTCAGTCAAACATTCGCCTTACATTTATTACTGACGTCATCTATCGGGCATAACTTAATGGGGAGAAAATGACTCACTGCAGAAACTATACCAAAAGACTGGTAGATTGCCATCATTATACCTATATTTAAAAAAGGTGATAACAGACAATGTGAAAACCACAGAGGCATAGCCCTCCTCAGCGTTCCTGGTAAAAGTTACTCTAGAATAGTCGTAGACCACGAGGGAGACTAAGAAGACGATGGAGTGATAATATCCAGACAAACATGCAAACACTTGGTGTCACCAACTGGAAAGAGAAGGCCAATCAGAGAGATGAATGGAGGCGGGTGATATCTGCAGCAATAAACCTCAAGGGTTCAGGATCCTGAAGAAGAAGAACACAAGTATTCTGCTACAGTGTACTTATATGTTAGAGGGTCAGTTTTACATCTGGTTGGCTAGTGAACTGAATAACTGCGTCATGTCCTTTTTGAGTGGGTCCAGGAAACAATTGTGCAGGGATTGGGGTGCGGGGAGTAGGGTGCAGGGATTGGGGTGCGGGGGTGGTATAACCACTGCCTTCTAATAATCATGATGAACAAGACTAAACCGTGGTGTTTACTCGGAGTACATCTGCTTCGAACGCAAAGAACCAACACTGCTTGGACGTGCGTGCGAATCTCAGATTCTGGAACAAAACAAACTTCAGAAGTGAACTTGAAGAATATAAAGAAGAAGACTGTGTCGCAAAATTATGTTTCTTAATTTAAAAATGTGTGCCATCAACATGAACAGTTTTGAAAACTCTGCTTTAAAACATGTTCTGTCTTTCAGCGTCAAGTTTGTTTCAGCTTGTGTGTGTGTGTGTGCCTGTGTGTTACATAGATACTCGTATAAACGGCTTCAGACATCTCATCGCTTGCCAGAGCAACCTCTAGATTCTCTTCCATAGCGTCCTAATGACACGGCTGCCTGTGGCGCACTCTCTTGACACATGTCCTAACCATTTCAAAGGAATTCTCTTGAGGCAGTTGAGAACTGCTTCCGTACCAATTTGTTTATTGATATCCGCATTTTTTAAAAATCCCTTTATCCTCTTGTTACATCTGGGATATGTCATTTCTGCTGTTTTTCAGTGTTTCTTATTCATTTTACTGTTAATGTTCACCCTTGACACCAGTAACTGTGCTGGGGGTAATTCTATATTGAATAGTCATCTTTGGTGTCAGTATTTACAAGTAGGTTGTGAATCCTGATTACATATGTCCAATGATTTTATTCGATATATTACATCTACTTTCTGTTGTCCTTTTTTGTTCTACCGAATATTCTTCTTCTTCTGTCTTCTTCTTCTTCTTCTGATAAGGTCTATGTGGCTTTGGTCTAATATAAACTTGATTAGGGCCTCACTCTAATTTGACATATGTAGCAAACTTGATGAGGTCTCAGATATATCGAGTGTAAAATAAATCCTTTAGAATGTCAAACATCAAACAAGGGTATGGCTTGACGTGACGTTTTACCCCACCAGGACATCACACCAAGCTATAAACACCCGGTGACACAAAGTGTCACCATTCTTATAAGGATCACCCAGAGACAAGGTCCCAGAAACCCCTTTCAACCCATTGGTTGGGTTATATTAGGACCCCCGGCAACAGCCGGAGTATGGCTTTAATGAAAACGAAAAATTACGTCCTACATAGGCACATGTTTAACTCTTTATCTACAAGGGCATGGCTTTCAAGACGAAGAATTCACTCACAAATCGGCAGTGTCATTTCTGTTTATAAAAGTTTATTATATATTTTAGCATTAGCGTAAGTTTGGTTTTTGAGCAGAAATTCTATAGACAGATTCCGAAAATACGATGGAAAAAGAATAAAAGAAATACTGACATCTTAAAGGATCTGAACATCAAGGAAGACTGGCTGATAAACAACATGTTGTCCTGGAATCTGAAGAAGAAGAGAAAAAAAAAAAAAACTGGTGAAATCAAGCGCCACGGAGGATTGGAACCAATAATAGCATAATGCATAGTGCCGGGAAGGAGGGGCAGGGACCGACCAGCATGAAGATGGGCTCAGGATATAAGTGACCCCTTTGGTATGTATGAGGCGGGATCGCTGGCGATAGACAGTTTTTTTTTTAGAGAGACCGTCATGAGAGCGACGTTCTGAAAAGGACTTGCTTAATGATATGCCCATGTTCGATATTTTATACAGCGTTTGTGGGAGTATTTAAGGCCACATATAAATGAGTCAAACAAATTAAAATATCAAAATTTGTGTTGTTTAGTTCAAATGTGAATTTAGTGTAATTTTTGCAGTCTTTACTGACTGTAGTTTTCCCCACATTAAGCGCCGTGTTGAACAGAGTGGGGGAAAGTTGACAGGGCATGCAGTTTAAGTCTCAGAATTTAAGGCCACTTTCTAATGCAATGGCCACGTAAAGTCCTGATTCTGGTTTTATATTTGCCTCAGAAAAAGAAAAAAAAAAAGATCTATTCCTTATTGAGAACTGCTTCCTGGTCTCCCTCAGAATGGTTATGTGCTTTAACCACATCGCACTTGTGAACTGAACGATGCCACCGTGAAAGAACCCACGTTCTTCAGAGCGCGAGCCAAATGTCTTGACCACTCCACCGCAGAGATCCTCCTTACTAAAGTGCTAAAGCACCAACTACTTGCGTATCACCGAGTTAAATCCGGTGAAAATAATATAGAATGTGTTGACATAAAAAAAAAAAAACTGGTTAAAAATGTAAGAGTTTAAATAAAATTTTAAAGTAACAAACAGAGACTGAGTGAGTTAAATATGATGACCTCTTTATTAATTGTCAAGAATCTATGAAACAAAAGTGACAATGCAATGCCAGCTGTTGCTTTTGCTTCTAAAGTATAGAGATGCCGGCTGTATTCAAATGCCATACACGTTGAATGTGTTAAATCTGCAGGTCTGCAGCACTGCGTCCACTGAGACATTCTTGATTTCAGCGATCTTTTCAGCCGTAAACAGAGCGAAGCCAGGGTGGGACACGCTCGACCGATTCTGAGATAGAAGTACATAAGATACACAATTAGCTCTTCTGTTTGATGTAATATTTTTGTTTAAATCTTTACTATTATGGACGCTGCATATTACTAGTCCAGTCTGCATTGTGTTTGAGCCTGTATGTCCCTAAGAGTGTTATTTGTCAATTTTCCTAAAGTTAGTAACATGCTGCAACTTTCTTGTGGCACACACGCTCCACTTCGTAGATGGTTCTTTTAACGCTTCTTATAAATCTCTTGGACTCATCATAAGTGACCATCAGATCTGGGTGATGTTTGGGTTTTTTCTTTTTTCTTTGCCAATATAACAATCACTTCACTTCCAGGTATATTGTAACGAGACTTGGTCCAATAATTTATTGCCCTTTTGATTATCTGTCATAGTTCCTGAAAGTGCTGTGGTTTGGCCAGCTGTTCCAGTAATGCTTTTGCTCTACAATACTGAAACAACATATCTGGCATCGGTGGCGATAGCTATATGGTTGTCTAAGTTTTTCTGTGTCAACAATATTTTTTTCTACTAAACTTTTCAAGATCCGTGTTTCTGCTCTGAATTTACTTCACTTCCCTGGCAGCATCATTAAGATTTAGGAGAATAATTCCACCTCAATTTTATACTATGCCAGTCTAATTGGATTCTAACATACATTGACATAATTCAATTGGTGACAACGCTAAAAAGATTACCGACCACCACTATAGTGCAAGAAACCATCCCAGAAGCTCAAGTGAAACACATATGTAATTATAGTCATGATAATATAAAGCGATGACTGGAAACTGAACACCGATGCGAATTGAATATACACACTCCAGCAACTTCTTAACAAATTATGGGTAGCGATAGTCGTTATGAATGTTCACAACCTCCTGTCTGAAATAGATGTTTTTATACTTTTTTTTTTTTTTTTTAGTACTGTATGGTTATCCTTTTATCTCGTTCTATCAACAGTTGCTGGTTATTAAAACTAATATGTGTTAGGGCTTCAGTACGTTGAGATAGGTACGTTTTTCCCTCTTCTGTAGGATTACCACTCAAGTGTGCAAATCAAAGAGATCTAAATAAAGCAAATATATTCAGGCATCTGATGGTTACATGGTGAACTAAAGTCTGAACCTAAGTAATAGTGTTGATAGTTATATTAAGATAATTACCCTTTCGAATGAGCGAGTTCAAATAATAACTGGATTAGGGTGTGGCAAATTAGCGACTGGGTGTGGCACAAGAAGCTTAGTGTGATATTTTCGCATCTAAATGTATCTGTCCCTGGTATTTTCAGCTTTCCTGTATAAGACGATATCTTTGCAGATTCCATAATGCTTTTTTTTTTTCACACATCTTTAAATGGACAAGTAAGGAACATGAGCTTACCTTAGGAATATGTTGTGGAACAAAGTACGGGCTGTCTGTCTCCAGCAACAAGCGATTAAGTGGGATGTTTCTAGCGGTGTTTATGGCGCCACGGGCAGTGCTGTATGTGATCACTGGAGTTAAGCCGATATAGAGGTTGGTGAAGGTTTGCAGCCAGATGTTGGCTGTTTCTGGACTCCCGCAGAAGCAGTGGAGGTGGATTGGCCACTCACGAGGTACCATCTATTCAAGAGAACTACACCATATATATATTTATGTGTGTACAATTGTTTTATATATATTATTTATTTTACATACTGTGTATATATCGTCTGATAATAATTAGAATGGCCAGCGTGTCCTTATCCTAATAATGTATAATTTGACCAATGATCAAACCAGTATAACACTGCTAACTCTCAAGCAGTATATTAGTCAGTCAGTCTGTCTGTCATTCAGTCAATCAATTTGTCTTTGAGTCTCTTAATCAGTCAGTCAATTAATATATATATATATATATATATATATATATATATATATATATATATATGTTAATTTGTATGGCTATCTCTCGCCTGTAGATCTGTCTAATTTTCCACCTCCTTTCTAATGTAGTAATTCGATCAGTGAATATAACATGATTAATTAAAAAAAAAAGTTCTAGAAAAACAATTAATCACCAGGAAACGTACCTCCATTAAAATGGCCAAGCAATCGTCGTATGCATCACGACAATGAATAACCAACGGCAGGTTCATCTCCATGGCGATCTGCAGCTGTTTCCTCAGCACCATTTGTTGTATCTCTGCATGTTGATGAAAGCTGTAAAAGACAAGGTGGTATCAGTCATTCGTTCATTATTCCCAGTTTCACTCTCATATTACCCCATTATCATTCCCATATTTTGAAACTCCAGATAGGAGTGAGGGCAGTGGTGTAGTTAGATAGAGTACTCCCTGATATAAAGAAAACATTGGGATGGGGAGGAAATGGCCAGGCCACTGAAAGATATTTTAGGGGACGCCTGAAGAGGCACGTGTCTTGTGTATGTGCATAATACTAGTACAAATAAAATAATAATGATGACAATAATTACAACAATGTGCTAAATAAATAGTAAAAACGTATAACGATGAGCTTGATATAATGTGGAATGCTTAAACAAATACCTTAAGGAAGGTTAACTAAATTATTTGTTAAGACTGCTACTAAGTCCCTCCTAAGGTCGACAGGCAACATCTAGCTACTGAGCTACAGCGATGCAGATTTAAAGTTAACATACATTCTATGACGAACATGAATTAACATGTTTTTCCTACAAACTTACGTTCCAGAATAATCGAGCCCGATCTCTCCTAGAGCCACGACCTTTGACTGCTTCAATGCTTTCCTTAACCCCTGTTCGTGGCGAACTGTGAACTGTGTTGCACTTTTAGGGTGACATCCAATGGCAAACCACACATTATCATCATGTGCCAGAGTGGTTAAGAGCTGATTTTGAGGATCTGTGATGGAACAACATTTTATTTATAAAATGCAAGGTGTATGTCTGTGTGCATGTGTACATATATGTGTGTGTGTATAAATGTGTGCGTACACTGTGTGTGTGTGTGTAAGCGTATGCATGTAAATAGATAGGTAAGGATGCACAGATTAATAGAAGTATAAGCTCAATGTTTAGATTAATTTATCAATATGCAAATGTATACGCATGTGTATATAATAGAAAAAGTACAACATAAAAGTTGCTTTTCTCATCTCGGTTGCGCTTAATTAAGCTTTTCTTTCCTATCACCTCTTTACCTTCTTCCCATCCTTCTCCGTCTTCCTCTTATTTCCATTACTATTTTGGAGCAGTCGTGAACAATTTTTGACCTGACAACAAACAAGTTAAACGAGGAAAAGAAGCTGTGGCAGCCGGTGACTCTTGGGTAGGCTAGCATCAAAGTAGGAAAGAGCGTGTGTAGCATATGTTATCAAAAGTAAACGAGACAAGAACATATGACACAACATCTGCAAGTTAAAGTAAATATTCGAGCATTTTTTAGGTGAATGTGAATAATTCTAACTTTTTTTTTTTTTTTGAGATAAAAATTTGGAGCTTTTGAACTGAAAGGGTGCAGAAAAATGTTTAGAATACCAAGGACCAAGAAAAAGAATAACAGCACTTCAAGCATGATCTGGGCGTCGCGGAGAATCGGCTCATAAACAGCATCCTGTCCCGAGATCTTGAGGTATTTTTGGCTGTGTCAAGTGCCCTGGTGGCCTGGAGAGAACGCTGATGGAGGGTGCAGATTCAGAAAACGGTAAGAAGAGAAAAATGCCGCGATAGTTGATATGAAACATTGAAGATGTATTGGCTGGGAAAGCACATATGGCTGGTGAATTGGCTAGATAAAAGAGACATTCAGGCTTGTCGTAAAGACAGCGATGTTCTGTACAGGACCTGCTAGTTGATGATGAGAAAAGACAAAATGTTGCAGAGTGACTTGATTGAATTTGCTTCCTAATTGTTACTGCAGGTAAGGTTCCCATAAAGTAGTTTTCCAAAGTCCCTATTAATTTGACTCGTTTGCAAACATTGGTTGTTTTAGACTTCATTGTTCTTCACCCCGCATTGTGAGATTGATTCACAATGAAATTTTAATCTCCGCAGTGCAATTTCTGCAGAACTAATGGTTAAATCGGTTACAATTTTTGATCGGATATTCTAGGAAGGTAAGCCTTTAGCATGTGTTATCAATCATCGTCATCATCTTCAACTTCTGGGCTGTAATGAGGAACAGTCTGCGGCCCATCGATCGATGGCTAACGTGGCTATTGTAATTCCATGTGGATGTAGAATGACTTTAATTTCATCAATCCATATTATTTCTTGGGCACTCTCTTGCTTTTATATCTGATCATTTTGTGTTTATAGTTGTATTTGCTTTGTGACGAGATTCCCGAACCATGTCATCTTCTGCTTTTCAATGAATTTGGCGTTGTTCGCTTGGTTTGTTAGACACATGAAGTATCAGGCGATCCCTGATGGTAAAGTTGACTGCATTCCTATAGTTTTTTTTTTTCAGTACTGGTTCAATACAACAATGGTTTGACTCTTTCAGAAAAACCACTAATTAAGTTAATTAAGTGTAAAGATTAAGCACATATGTCTAAAGATGTTCAAATTTTAACATAATTTGTTAAAAGTTGTTAAACTGTTAATTCTGAAAGTATGAGGTTTTAGGTAACAACAAACTGCAATAGAATAAACATATTTTGAGAGTAAACTCACTTTAGATTAACCTACAAACATAGGGTGAATTGCGTGATAAAGAAATAGTTACTATGTATGATAAAATAACGGGTACTCACTGATAGGATCGTAGGTCTTGGGGTAGCAGAAGACGGCAACACAGCCCTCAAAGTTGCCAGGAAAAGAATGTGCTACCATTTTTCGAAATTCCGAAAAACTGGTTTCGTGGCTCAAGCCTAGCCTGTCATAGATGAGATCAATATGGCAGTGGGAGTCCACGAAGGTGCCTCGGTATGTCTGACTTCTTGCCATCAAGTCCAGAGCCCAAGGATGAGGCTGGTCTAGTCCTGTAAGTGTAGATCTTGGGGAAAGATTGGCAATGAAGGAGGGAGAAGAGAATCTTGGCGATCCTCCCAAGTGATGTCCAGATGGTTTTTGCGGTGTTGTAAAGCTTGGTGAATAGTCAGGGTGACCTGAAATAATGTCGACATAAACATATGAGCGAATTTATGTAAGAGTACTACTCTAATAAATTTACTTCCCATCCTTAGCGTTCGCCGGCTATAAACTCTGACAGAAGGTTCTGGTTGTTCGACCACTTCTGAACTTCACATCTGTTTCGTAGATCCAGCTTATTTGTATGCAAATTGTTGGTTCCTCGCCTCTCATGTGGATGCATTCCGACCTTGAATTACTCGCCATTTTACGACATGCTTGTTTGGGAGCAGCTCTTCTATACTATTTACACCATAATGGGTCCCGCAACACACACTAGAAAACTTGTGAGACATAATTTGAATTAACAGAGTTAGCTAAACTAAATGAAAGGACAATGAAATAACTTGTACATCGTATACCAGTAGTTGCCATAATGTTGCCAAATCAGTCGTTAAATTATGGTGGATTATCAGGTTACAAAAGCTGTTTATAAGAGAGAAGAAAGTGAAACCTAGTCAGCTGAGCAGCCAAGTATTAGACCCACATTAACAGATATATGGGTGAACAGGCAAACAGACATACTGATAGACATACTGACACATATAACACACCCACACATAATAATAAGCAAACTTGCAGACACACATATGCATAGACAGATTAGTGAATGGATGCATAGACTGAAAACATAGACAAAAAAGAGTGCACGGTCAATAATTAGTATTCTTACCTGAGGTTGTCTCTGCCACATTTCTTCGCCCATAAGCAACAGGAAAACAGCTGCTTTTGTCAACGCCAGGTTGCTCCTCAGTGTTGCCCCAAGCCTCGTCAGAATGAGCACAACAATTCTGAGCCAACAGATTATCTCGGAGAGATCTTCGTTTAAGGAAACTACTATGCCTGTCGGTTTGCCGAAGGCAGTCTTGTCTGTCTGTCTGTACATCTTGTGGAGATTTCTTTGGCATTACTGCAACACTACGGATTTTAGATTGAATAAAGATCCTTTGAGAATCAGTATGATCACAACTGTCAGATTCGTTAAGCCTTCTTCGTTTTCGCAAATGTACTGCGTTTTCACAGTCGTCATATTCATTTGTAGGACTACTTGAAAGTGATTCTGAAGTGCGTTGTCTCTTTACGGCAATCTTGACTTCCATATAATCTGCATCTATTTTATTGTCTTTGGGTTTGCAATCAGAAACAAGTCTGTGTCTTCTTGGGGTGGTGTCTTCCACCGTAATGGTTTTATCAAATTTCAAGTTATTTCTTCTGTCTTTCTTGTTCCTGAGTGAATTATCTCTGTCTGACGGAGAAGCAAAATGACTCTGGTATTTGTAAGTTAAAGAATGTATGTTGTCTCCAGATTCCTTTTTGTTATCTTTGCTCGAGAAGCTTTCAGACATTGTCGATTGTCTTCTGCATTTGTTTTGGTCATCACTGTTAAAATTAAAACACTTATCGGCGTCATTCACAGGTGGAGGTTGTTTTCTGTATTTGGGTTTAGAAGTAACAATCTTATGGTTTGTTTTTTTGCTTCTGACTTCACCCTGACTGTCTGACTTGGGTACTTTGCGACTGACATGACTGTGTCTATCTGACGTTGGCCATGAACAACTACTTTCTGCTGATGAAGGTGACCTGCATTTGCTTCTGGATCCAGGAGTACTTTTGTTGTTGGGTGACTGTTTGTAACGAGTGTTTTCTCTAGATTTCGAGCAATGTTTCTTCTTATTTGATCTAGAGTAGTGAGTCTTCTCAGTGGATCTTGAAGAACGGGTCTTGCCTTCAGAACTAGAATAGGATGAAGAATTGTAGCTCAATGAAGACTTATGTCGGTTGTTGCTTGCTTGCCTGGTGTGGTGTCCTGAACCTGTACGTTCCGACCCTGAAGAACGGTAATGCCCTCCTTTTTGTGAAGTGATCTCAGATTCATATTTATGTGTAGAAGTAGCTTCATCCATTTGCTTTGCTGAAATATTTTTCCTGTTTTCAGACAAGGAAAAATATGCTTTCGGCGAGACATATTCTTTCACCATGCGGTCAACTCTGACATCCTTATTTACTGGAATATCGTCATCCGAAGAAATTGACTCATATATTGTAAGTCTTATTTTCTTACCACTAATATTTTTTGAGTGCATCGACGAGGAAGGAAGCCACTCGCGTTTGCATTGTTCAGGGCTTGAGTCTTCATCCCGCCTTCTGCTCATTGTGCTTGTATCCAAAGACAATGGAGACCTTTTCCTTGTGCTGCGACGTGTTGAACATTCGCCTTTGGCTACAGATGAGATCAATTTATTTGAACCGGTTCCCCCGCAGCTGAAGGGGGAAATACTTTCTTGTCGACTGACCAGATGACAGTTTTTAATAGGGCTATCTGACCCTGATTCAGAGAAAGACCGTCTTCTTCCCAGAGATCCGTCAACTCTGGTAAAGCCTCTGCTGGAATAGTATGTTTTCGGGGATGAACCATTTGAACACTGGCGACTCCTTACCCCGTCGGTTTCCATGATCTGGAAGAAAAAACAACAACAACCACACGATAATAAACATGTTGGCTTCAAGTGTCACCGAAAAACAAAATATAGGAATGGATGGAGAAGAGGTGGGTTGGCTATGGCTTAGCCTCTTTACACATTTAGAGAGACTCGGTCAATAATTAACTATAATGGGAAATCATTGCTGTTGTATGGACCAGAAACACGTAGAACAATTAAAACAGTTACTCGTAAATTACAGAGCTTCATTAACTTGGGCCTGCGCAGAATTTAAAGAATTAAATTGTATGATAGAATTATTAAGATCGAGTTTTGGGACAGAACTAAACAAGTTTCAGTGGACCAAGATGTGAATAAAATACTCTGGTGTTGGATAGAGAATGCGTTGAGAAAACCGAAAAGAATATAACTAGACTGTCTTTGCACTGCAACCCACAGAGGTATACCAATAAGGAGAAAGGACCCAGAGAGTGAAGTTAAAAAGATATGGAGGACATGGGATAAGCTGCATGCAATAGCGAAGGACAGAACGACTTGACGTGCGATGGCTGAGGGCCTATGCTCCATTGGGAAATAGAAGGCATAATAAGCAAAAATAGGCTCAAGTCTTGTTGAAGTGCGTAATCATACTAATTATTTTTTTTAAATCGCAAATGCTCTGAAACATTAACAACATTTATGAAGAACTATTTATGGTTAGGGATCGCTTAGCTCCCCACCCCTCCCCCTTTTGTTTAAATTTTGTTTTTGGGGAGGAAAGGTTAAGAGGATTCTGGAGCTGCTGTGATACTACCACTTGAAGTGGCTCGCATGTAACTCCAAGAAATGCATGCAGGGACTGTTCTTTTTGCGTATAGTATGGCGCTAATGGGAAAAGTGAGCCATCACTACTTTCAAATAGCGACAAATTATTACAGAGATAAAATGTTTCGTACGAAATGTCTGGGTAACCAAGAAGGGAAGGGAAGGTCTGAAACCAGCGATACGATTCATAAAAGAGCAACATTTGAAAATGTGGCCTTTAGCAAAGAATGTCCTGATATCAACTTCCTAATAAACCCAGGGTAGAGAAATTATTTGAACAGAGAGCTAATGGTAGACATCGCAATAGATCAAATGGCAAAGCTAAAAAAAAAAAAAAAACTTACAGAAATGGGATTGGAGGAGGTGACGCCCACACAGAGATAGTACACGGTAGATGTGTAATATTCCCTCAACCCTTCGCTGAGATAAACGGAGGAGAGCGGAAGAAGAACTAGCTAGTGTGTGAAGAAACGGATATTCACATGTTTGTATTCCTCATACATACACACACACATACCGGGAATAGTATTTTAGACGACATAAAGGGCACAATAGATAGTAAAGTATAGGTTTGTAAGTTCTGTATAATCTCATCAAGAACAACCTAGAACTTCAATTTACGCAGCGTATTAGAAAGAGAAAACACAATCTCCTTATCTGCCTCCCCCCCCCCCCCCTAATTTTATGAGGTAAGAGGCGTAAGAGAAGAAAATAAACAGGTGTGAATATTAGGCCCCAACTACAACTAATTAATGGGAGCCAATTTTACTGATGGAGACATCAGATAACATGAAAATGGCTAATGAAATTAGAAAACTATAGATAACTATAAAATGGTGGCATTTGGTGTTCTTCGGTAAGATAATTAGAAGAGAGGCATTGGAGAAAATCGTGATGACTGGAAAGTTGAACTGTAGAAGATGCAGAGGCAGACCAAGAAAGACATTTCTTGACGGCCTATAGCCGTGGCATGCTGGAATATCATTTTTACTGCTGAATGTTACTTTTGATGTCATGATCCAAACATAGCTTTTTATCATCAGGAAAAAATAATGTAAATCAGTGTATCTTTAGTTTAACTTACAAATATTTACTTTAGATTGGGATTTTATATATATATATATATATATATATATATATATATATATATATATATATATATATATATATATATAAACACTATGATAGCGAACGAGTTACTGTAGAGCAGTGTGGATTAATGTAAAAACTGGATCAGGAGTAGGGAATCAAGATATATAATATAAGCATAACCTAATACATCTGTTTTAAAGCAAGGGAATGCTTTGACCCACATCTTTTAACTTGGCCCTACAGGAAATTATAATGAAATTGAAAGAAAATTGTACTATAGGAGAAGCTACAATATTGGTTACACAAATGCAGTTCTTCTTCTTTCCGTTCGGTTTCGTATGATCAGGTCACACTATCAGGTGGGCTGCCTCTATAAATTCGCCTGTCCTTCGTGGTTCCCCATAGCTTGTTCTGCACACTTTGGTCTTGAAACTAAGTTTATTTTCGTTGTTGTAGGTATAGTGGGCGGGCCTGCAGAAT